GTCAGACACGTGGTTGAACTTGCATCCGCCATTCTCTCATTCTCTCCTTGTATTAATCCTGTGAATAGTGTTATGGTCTTCACTTTCTCCTCAGTTAAATGGTGCCAGCGTGGCAATGATGAAGTCTTTGCTGAGATTCTAACCAAGGAGCAGAGACATTGAGCCCCTTGTCCAGGATTGTGGTGCACAAAGAGCCTACATCCAGCTTAAGCTCTTTGACCCAGGAGACTGTGCTCTTTCCACTGTGCTGAGTTGCATCTGGATTGCTGCTGCTAACCACCTGGCATATTAGAACATAGCCTTGCAGAGCCTTCTGTCCAAGAGCTCCATTTAAGAGGAAAAAAAACACATTTATTATGTGCAAGGTTCTGCTCTCTTGGCTTCAGATGTGTAAACTTGGTTTATCTTCAAATTCCACCTGGGAAGAACATAAGATGCCAACCAGTGGAGCTGGGATTTAAAATAAGTGACTTGTACTCCTCACTGATCAGTTATATAAGATTCCGGGAGCTCTTTGAAATAGTACGATTTATGAGCATTTGGAACTACCTCTGGCATCATTGTTACCACCACCACCATTATCATTACCACCGCTACTACCACCACCACCTTATCATCATCATCAGCAGCACCATCATCACCATCATCAGCATCATCAGCATCGTCAGCAACAGCAATAACAGCATCAGCGTCATCATCACCGTCATCAGCATCATCAGCATCATCCGTAGCAGCAGCGGCAGCAGCGGCAGCACTAGCAACACCAACAACATTATTGCTGATGGTTTAACAAAAGCTGTCTCTACTGAGATGCTTTATCTTTTGCTTATGGGTACTTCCCATGCTATTCCATTATATCAAAACAATCTCATATTTTCCTTTTAGGAGACTGAGTCTTATGAGGTTCTAGAAGGCGGGAAGTCTCATCTCTACTAAGACTAGAATTGGGATTGTGACCCTGTAGGAGGTCTGCTGTTAATGTCAATTCTCAGTTCCTTTCCCTGGTGCCTGTTGCTGCTTTTTTGTTGTTGTTGTTTTGAGAAAGGTTTTTTCTGTGTTACAGCTCTGGGTATCGAGGAACTCGCTGTATAGATCAGGTTGGCTTCACAGAGATCTGTCTGCCTCTGCCTTCTGAATGATGCCGGGATTAAAGGTGTGCACCGACACCACCCAGTTGTTGCTGCTCTTAACATCCAGCTAAGCATGAAATCCTGAACACTTTCTTATATTTTTTTTATCATCTCAGTGCTCAGCGGGACTACTGTCTAAAAAGTTATAGAATTGCATTTTACTGACTGAGTTTTCCTCCTGGCTTTTCCTCCTATTGAGCTGTCAGCTCTATGAAAAGCTGCCTGATGTTTTGTTTACCGCTTTCAATTCCTTAGAAATATAATAGTAACATTACCTACCATGTGTTCTAATAGAGTGATGGGGATAGGTAAGCTGGGTCCTTTGTGCTCTGAAGCCTGGGATAGAGAGTGAAAGACACCTTGTGTCAGAGAGAAGAGCATTTCTCGGGTTGGCATCAGCTGCTGAGGACCACAGTGTGTCACTTTTTGGTTTGCACAAGGAAGCGGTATTATTAGTGATACTTGGGATATCTTCTTATTGGTGACAGTGCAAGAATACTATATTATTAAAAAGACTTCCGTGAGACTCCCCAAATAGCGACATTGTAAAAAACAGGTGACTTGGTGACATCAGATAACCTTTTATTTCACCTGTCAAAGCACGTGTTCCTATTAAACAAGTGCGAATATTAAATAATTCATTTGTATTTATTGGCTTTTAATAAATGAAAGCATCTCTTTCCTGAAATGAGTTCTGAGCCACAGGTCTCAGACTTCTTTAGTTACCATGCAAAACACAGCAACTTTGTGTTTCAAAATGACCCCCCGCCCCTGCTTGAGTTTAGATCTTTTGGTGACATTTTTCTCCAAGCAAATATTTACAGGGAAGTTGGAAACCAACAGGAAGAAGGGTTTAAAATGAAAATGTCACCAAACTGAAGTTTATATCTGAGTATAACACATGGTGTCACCATGGACAGGGGCCTAAGAACTCAAAATATGTGTCCATTTGTGGAGCTGGCTAAAAGCCACGCTGTTTTCGTTTGTCAATGTTGAGTAAAGATCATCTTGTAAATGCATTACGGTGACCATTATGGCAGCTGTTGGTCTACTGCAGACACAACCTCAGCTGTTTGCTTCTGAATTTTGAACTTCTTGCTGTCTCTAAGGCAGAACGCCTCCATAATCCCTGAGTTCTTTTTCCCCAAACACTTTCACTTATGAAGTTTCTCCTGCCTGCAGCCCCTCTTTCACACTTCCTTTGTCTGGCCTGGTCACTCCCATCTGAGGTCAGCTACCTCGGCCTGCAGGCGCTCTTCTGACTGAGGTACACCAATCTTGAACACCACTGACACAGGTGGTTTTGTTTCTTTATCGTTGTATAACATATAAATGATAGAGTTTAGTTGTAAAAATGAAGTCTAAGAAAAATAAGATGTTAGTAAAAATCCAATCAAATCACAGCCCTTTGTGTTATCTATCATTTTGTGATTCTTCTGTATTTATATGCATGTATGTGTACATGCACACAAAAATTGCATCTGGTTGTGTATTTAATTTTATATTACTTTATCTTGGACATCTACTTTCTCATAGCTTTTTGATTGTTTACAAATTAACTTAATGACCTAAATTTTCTTCTACTCTCATTTATACATATGTGTATTCAAACACAGACACAGACACAGACAAACACCCCTACACACATGCACACATAGACAGGCAGACACACACACACACACACACACATACACACACACACACACACAAAGCAGCCTTCTTTGAGTAAGCTGGTATAGATACACTGCTGTTGTCAATGACTATATGCTTTTTAATAGAACAAATATGCCACAGGTTTTTCTGCCATTTCCTTGCTGACATGAATTTAATTTTGCTCACAGAATTTTATAAATGATGCTGAAATTGCCAGCCTTGTACATTTACTGTTTCTATTGATGCTGTAACTCGTACAAGTAGATGCCCAAAAGTAATTTCCCTCAGCGGAAGGATAGGTCTCTCTTAAAGTGTAGTAGATGGCGCCATGTAACTTTCCAAGGAGCGCATTAACTCACGTTTCCTTCCCGTGTACGAAGTGACCTTTCCCACGCTTGCCGGCAGCAAGTGTGATCATTCTTTTCCTTGAGCCTCACAGGTAATGGGGTGGTATTGCATTGCTCCCCTGCTTTGTATTTTCTAGGTGTTTGATGGGCAGGGGCATCTTTTCACATTCATTATGAGACTTGGAGTCCCCCATTCATCATCTTTGCCCAGGGTTCCTCTAGGTTAGGTATGTCTCATTTCATTAGAGCACCTTTTATATGGTGGATCGTGATCTTCCTTTTCATTTATCTATATCACATGTATTTCCCCCACATAGAGGCGTGATCCAAGTTATAATGATCTCTTTGTTTGTGTCTAAACCAGACTAGGCATTTCCTGACAGCTGCGATGACTAGACCCACAGGCAGGGTGTATAATTCATCTCTAGGTCATTACCTCTAGGCAAGGCCTGAAGAAGTGGAGCTAGAAAGCACATGACTATAAACATTGACCATGCATGGGCTACCCAAATATATTTCATCTGTGCGGAATAATTTATGTGCATGGTGTCACATGGACTGAGATATTTCAAATAAGCAAAGTTTCAAGATGACTAATGTTCTGAAAATACTTATAAATGAATTACTTCCATGCTTTCCAAAATAGAATGATTCAGAAATATCGTTGTGAACATCCGTTATTACTCTGAGCTTACACTCGATATGCTTATAGGCTATTTTGAGACATAAGATTGTTTGCCACTAAATAAGAGAAGCCCCAGACATCTGACCACGTGGATTTTAAAATCATATTTTAAAATCATATTTTTATGTGTGGATCAATTCTTCTCATATCCATGATGTATGCTTCGGTGTCTTCCCTTTCACTGTCAGATTGTGCTTCATGTCTTGGTATTGTCAGCTGATCTAGTTTTACGTCCAGTGCTCTTGCATTTCTATCTGTATTAGCTACAGCTGTGAATTAATATTATCAGGAATTGTGTCCATTTGAAAGACCAATAGGTGATGAGTTCATAGCCACCAGGTTTGGCCTGAGTGCCATTTCCCTGTCTGAAGAGTGTCACTTTCCAGGAGAGATGTAACTTCTGTTGCACTGTTAGTTTGTCCCTTGTAACTATATTCTGTTAAAGTGAAACTCCTTGATGTGGGGACATGCTGTCTCCATTAATTAACACATCGGTCCAATTGCTTATAACCAGGGCCCTAAACAAAGTGTTTCAAAGGTGTCATTATAATGACAGTCACGCATGTCTCAGTTTTGCACATGTCTGAGCCCATAGGGAGGCTGTGAGCCAGGAAGTCATAGGTTCCAACCCCTTAACTAGATGCGTCCTCATCCCTTGGGTTCCATGCTGTCTTCATGGTCCATGACGTGACATGTCCTCATTCTGGCCAGATGGTAGGAATGGATAAACGGAGCACAAGAGGAGCTCCCGTTTATTTTAAGGACACGGCCGGGAGTCACACCTACAAGTTAGTCTTACATTCTCATTCCTAACAGAAGAGAGACTAAGGATTATTGTTTTTATTTTGAGTGGATTTGTGCCAGAATGGAGCTTCCATTTTTGGAAGATGAGAAGAATGGGTATTGGTAGACACAGCATGCAGTCCCTCTTGCTTCTCATTCTGGTGTCCTCTCGGCTTGCTTGTAAGTTTGCCAGTGCTTGTGTGCAAGGCAGACGTCGCCCACTTCCTCTGCACCCACCCCCTGCTATGTGAAGGCTGAGAGAGCCCTGCCGCAAGAACAGCTTGGTTTCCAGTCTTTCCCTCCTTGTTCTAATAATGAAAAATACAAGAAAAGATTTGAAGTAACCAATAATTCAAGGTTTGAGGACCCTTTGGACTTCTTGGCTGTTTTTTTTTTTCTGTGATTTAGTCCATGTTGTCCTGTCTAATTTTTTATGATTCTACTCAAGGTTAGCTGTCCTTAGTTTTTACTTAACTCCCATTTCCAGCTTTAAGAGGTTCGGGTGTGAAGACCACATGCCTTGCAAGCAGGTATGATGGGACAACTTGATCAGAGTCAAGGGGGAAATCAGCCCCCTGTGAACAACACAAGTGAGTTTGAGGGCTTGTGAATCTGACTTTTTTATGAGCGGTCCCCGGATAATCAATAGATTGCATCATCTCCCACCTGAAGTCTCTGCACCCCATGGGCTCCCATTAGTAAGAAAGCAAACCTCCCCTTACTCCAGACTGACTCTGGAATTGAGTTTCTTTAGCCAAGTAGCTGATTACAACTGCTCTCCCGGTTTGCAAAGTAGAACTGTGTTTGTTTTCCTTTTGAAAGGGAAGGAGGCTTCCAGAGAAGACGCGTAAAAGTGTTCTTTTTCTCTTCAACTTAGAAATCAAATAAGAGGTGAACCAGGCTTAGTCAAAGATGAAATCACAAGTCTTATTTCTCTTAAAGTTGATCAGGAAATTTAGGCTGTGTAGCTTCTGGCATTTTCTAAATTAGTCTAAGCTGCTGGGGACAGTTCACCTTGTCCCTTTTGGAGTGCACAGTTGGCCTTTCACGGAACACTGAGAGAAACTTGAGAGTCCTACTTGGGGTTAAAGGTAGAAACTCATCACACCCTGAGATTTTTGGGGGTTGAGCACAATACTGTTTCTAGGGATGGGGTGGGGCAGCTCTTCATCCAAGCTGCTCTGAAGTTACTCTGTGCACCGATATATGCTCACTTTGAATCCATCTCTCAAACCTCATGGAAGCATGTCAGCTAATGTCTCTGGATACTCCGTGGTCATGGGGGCTCTGCATGACAGTAAAATGAGCAAGAATTTAGGGCAGGCATGGTCCTGCCTGAGCCTAGAACATATCTGCTTCTCTTCCACATTTGTTGGCTGCCCCTGGCTTTACTAGAAAAGCAAATCACCCCCTTTCCTTTGAGAGGAGAAGCTGGAAGGGCTGTGAGCTTGCCACGCCCCCTAGAGAGTAGAGCGGAACTGTGGAGTGACTGTTCCTTTAGAACATCACACACTTGCTCAGAAAACCCCAGAGGCTGCTATAGCCTTCGAGATGAGCTCCAAACTCCTTGGCCTGACAGAGATCCATTCAAACCCCTTTTTCTCAGTCTCATTCCTCTCCGGTGTTCTCTTTGCCCACCGCCCGGCTCTCTTTCTCTCTTCTTCACTGTTGAGAAGCCCGTGACCATGTTCTGCTGCCCTCCCTGTCTCAGCACCTGCTGCCCTCTGCCCTCCCCCCAGCAGAAGTGCTGGTCCCTGCCCTTCATTTGTCATTTGACAAAGTTTCACTTCCCCTTCCAGACTGAGGCATCATTTCCTTTGAGAAGCCCTTTGTGCTTCCTTCTGCACAGGCCCGAAGCCCCCAGCCATCTCTTCATGTCTACTCTTGCCGTGAACTTTGGTCTCTCTGACTATCTGAGTTATGAGAGCTTCCCCGAGTTGCACTGACTTGGTCTTTGTATCCTAGCAGCTAGGAAAATGTCTAGGACATAGTGGCTATGCAAATGAGTACAAGGGTCCTGGTGAAGGCCACAGGCCTTAAAGTGACAGTGTGACCTTGTCACCTTGTCACTGTACAGCCACTGCCACGTTAAACATCACAGGATTATTGTTCAAAGGGTCAATAAAATAATGCATGTGAGGTACTCCAATGAAAGACAGAGGAAAAAAGATGGCTATTTTGGTCATACTGAGATTATCATTATTATTGCTTGTTGTTGACCAATCTATGGTGATGATCCTTTGGGCACTTCTTGAGGGGTGGGGGGTTGGGAAGTGGTGATCGGGGATATTTCTAGCATACTTCAAAGTGCTTTGAAACCCCCAGTACCTCGAGGATAGAAAAGTAACAAACTGACAGAAGTCACCCCCAGACAAACTCACCCCTGGAAGAGCCCAACAGCAGCGAGAAGTATGCCTTCTGGCATCAGGCCTTGGCGACTGGATTGTCACTAGAATTTCACTAACAGCTCTGCCTTCCTTACAACCTTCTCTCTGCCCTAAAACTTCTCCTCTTAGAAAGAGAAAGAAAACATGACACTGAGGTGACCCAGTGTCAGGACTGCCCTGAAGGTCAGGCATCTCCCAGGGGCCCCTTGGAAGCCCGTGTCCTGCTGTGCTCTTTTTCCCTGTGTGATATTAAGACAGTGGCAGCTTCCAGCTGATGTTGGGAACCAGCATGGAAGGTGGCAAATGTCTTCCTTGTGCCAAATTCCCAGCAGAGCATCTTACAGAGAGTAGCCGGGTTTCCACAGAATACCTTCTCTCTCTTCTACCCGTGGCTCCATGCGCATTTTACTACATTCAATTCAGCGCGTAGTGATTGCTCCCCTACTGTGTGGGGGGAACACTACTGACTCTCATGTGTGTGTTTCTCCCTCCCTACCAGCCTTTCTGCCTTAAGTCCTTATTATAACCCAAAGCAACCCAGTGTCTGGCATCTACTGTCTTAAAGGGACACCACCATATTTTTATTATTACTTTTGCATTAATAGTCTTCTTTATCAGAGCTTGAACTGTAGATAGCGAAAGAAGGAGAAATTGTGAATCTCTCTCTCTCTCTCTCTCTCTCTCTTTGTGTGTGTGTGTGTGTGTGTGTGTGTGTGTGTGTCGGGGACCAACAAGCGAGCTAATTGTGCTGTTTAATATGTCTGGTTTTCTACTCTTAATATACTGTGATCAAAAAATGAAACAGCTCCCTTACCTGAACAAACATAGCAGGAAGATTAAAATGTCTGGGTTTGGAACGCAGAGACTTGAACCATGGCCGCGGTGCTGGGTTTGTGTGATGCTGGCCTCAAGCTTCCATTTCCCTAGCACTGGCCCCACCCCCCACCAACCAGGTGCTTTTCAGTAAGGTGGGGGGAGCTGCTTCTCTTCTCTCGCACTCTTTGAGTTGTAAGGAGATGGTGGGTGGGGCCTGTGCTGTCGCCTAGGAGGGCCTTGTGCACACCCATAAACTCCCGTGACTGCTAATGTCCATCTCGATTGCAACATTATTCTCACTTTGCTTCTGCCTTCTGGCTTGGTTGAAAGAGACACCACCTTTCCATTCTCTCCCTGAAGCCATCCCAGGCTTCCCAGGCTTCAGGAAGAGCTGGGAGGTACTCGGCACCTCCCCTGTGTCTTGCTTGTCTTGCACAGGGCCCTATCTGAGCAGGATGTTTTATCTGCCAGGCTGAAAGGAGGCCATTTGTCCCCTGCTAAATGAGGTGTTGCTCTGTGCCTCTGCCCCTCAGCACCTGGGGCTACATTCATGGGAGAATCCAACCGTGGCTTTCAGGAGCGTCCCTGGAAAGTTTATTAGGAGAAAGTGCTTCTTGGCGGCTTGTGCCCTCCTCCTGTAGCCTCCTCCCTCTGTGGCATCAGCTCATTAGTCAGTGCAGGGCAGGTATCTGCGGGTAGGAGGGCAGGTCGCAGGCAGAGGGGCAAGCATAGGCCTCTCCGAGGTCCAACAGTGGTCTCTGCCGCCAGGGGCTTCTCATCTACAGGTGGCCAATTAACTTTAATTGGCTGCCTCTGGCTGCACGTGACTGGGCCCTGGCTAACCTTGGAGCTGCGACTTGCTCCCTTCCCTAGGCTGTTGGGCGTCCCTTAGTCCATGGTCAGCAGAGTGGAACTCTCTCAGAGGGGCTCTTGGGGCCCTGCTCACCACCAGTGGCCTGCTTGTGAGAGACCAGGACCCAACCCCTATCTGACTGTGGTCTCTGAGTCTGCACGTTCTCCAGGCAGCCCTTGACTTGAGTGCCCGGTAGATTAGGGGGTTTAGATGACTAAAAAACCCGCTGGGTTATAACATCCAGGAACGAGTCCTTTCAGTTCTGGATCTTGTAGGGAATCATCTGTACAGGACGGCGTCAAAAGTGCAGGAGAGAGGCGACTACTTCATCTCTTTGTCCCCTAAATCCTCACCCCACTACAGAAAGACAAAATGAACAAAGATGGGGCCAGGCAGAATACGCAGGCTCCTGACTAAGAGGGAGTGTGCCTGACCCTGTGTTGGGTAACTTCGCTTCCTTTCTTTTTTCCACTCTTACAGATCAGATAGTCGAGAAGAGACGAATTTGCAAGGGTGTTGAATTAGGATGCTCCCACAGCTGGGGTTTGAGTGCGGTCTTCAAACAGCAGTTCTGTCCCTTACAGAGGGGCTAACATTTCACCCCTTCGCCTTTGAGTTCCCAGCGCTGTCCAGCAGGGATGATAGCCCCTGGATCTGCTCCACAGCCTGCTGATGGGCATGAACCGAAATGAGGAAATGAGCACTGACTCAGAGTAGTGCTTCATTAAGTATTCCCTAATTAGCATTTTAAATTTGCACCGAACTCCACCCAGGCACAGGTGGAGGTAGGGAGGCAGGATGTGAATGAGTCATCCAGAGGGTTGAGTGTTCCTTACTCCGCTATTTGGAGACAGTGTAAGGGATGAGGTTGAATCTTCATCTTTCTATTCTCCTGGGATCCAGATGAGTCAAACCATCCCATACTTCTGTTTCAAACAAATAGACGCCTGCCTTTCTCTGGTTTCCCTTGTCCATTTTCCCAGAACTTAAACCTAGAGAGTCCAAGAACCCCAGAGGTTTGATCTGAATGAATGTCACATCTCATGTTTGCCTCAGGAGGAAGTCCCATCCTGTGACAGGGCCCTCCCCTGAGGACTGGATCTAGCCTATGTGTGCCTCGTTCTTGGGTTCCCCTAGCCTTGGCAGTCCTGGTTTGTTGAGTGAATGTTAGTGAGTGACTTGAGCCCTTAGAGCTTTCCAGAGCTGGGTAAGGCACAAGGGCCAAAGGACCAGTGTTGCAGTGGAACAGAGGTACATCCCTTCTGCGGCCACCTGCCCTTCGCCCTGGTCACACTTGCTCTTCTCTTGATGTCTGAGCACACCTCCCCCTGGGCTGGCACTTACACCACAGATGACAGTTTTCCATGCAGTGTGGAGTTTCTTCTTCATAGCTCTTTCTCTGCTCTCCCCTAGTACCCCGCAATGCCCTCTATACCACCTGTCAAAAAAGCATCCCACACTGAATCCTTGTGGGAGATGTAGGGGTGAGGGTGGGAATGGAGGCGGGACGGGGGAGCATGGGCTAGAGCCCTTCAGCTGTTGCCAGCACTCTTGTGTGCGGCACAGAATCAATGAGGTTTGAGTTAACAAGAGAATGACTGTGTCCAGGCTGGACCTATGGCAGGGAGGCAGGCAGGTGTGAGTTCCAGGACTCGCTTGCTCCCAAGCCAGGCATCTCCGAGAGCCCCAGCTCTGCTGCTGGTTACCATTGAGCCCGGCCTTTATTTTTCTCATCATGTTTAAAATCCACCAGTCGCCCAATAGTATAATTTCCTAAATGGTTTCATTTCAGCTCTGCTAATTGAAGAAAACTGAGCTCTCTTTGAAGGCTTACTTTGTGTGTGGCTGTCACTGGGGAGTGTCGAGGCTGGCTGTCAATCACTGACAATAGCTTGCCATTTGGGAATAATTTAAGTTTAGGTCTTTCTTTCACTCAGGCATTCATCCTCTGGTATATGTTTTCATACTGAGCTGAGAACAATCTGGGGTGAGAAGCTTGTCACGTGTTCAGAGAGCTAAAATGGAGAGTTCCTTTAAAATTTCAAATGTCTGTGGTCCAGCGCTCACTGCAACACGGGAAGGAGATCCCAGATTGCAGAGAGAGACTTTCTGGACCTTGGATTTGAACCTTAAGTATCTGGGGGACCTTCATAAATTTTTTTAGGGTTTGATCCTCTTTCTGTAGACTATGAGAAAAGGGCAAGAGTGCCTTAAGATGGAGACCATGATGGGAGTCCGGGAGAAGGCAAGCCCTCTGGAGTCTGCAGTTCAGCCACGTTGGCGTGGTAGACACCTGCTGCTTCTGCAGTGTTTGTCAGGTTTCTGAGGTGGTTTCTAGGTTGCCAAGTAACTCTTGGTGAAGACTCCAGCCCGGGTGCTTCCCTCACTGTCTTAGAGACTAGGTAAATCACAGGCACCCAGAATTCCTTCAGTATCAGCTGGGGACATGTTTTGCTGTTCCCGGGCCATTTTTCCTCAACTGCGCACAAGCTCTCCAGCACTTCATCTGAGAGGAGGGAACTTCATTGAGAAAATGTTTCCAAGGACCAGCCTGGCTGTAGGGTACTTTCTTGACTGTGATTTACCAATCATTGGAAGGGCCTTGGACAGGTGGACCTGAGACTTATAAGAAAATAAACTGAGTACGATATGGGGAACAAGACAGTGAGTAAGCAGTGTTCCTTTGTGGTCTCTGTTCTAGTTCCTGACTTCAGGTTCCTGCCTTGAGCTCCGCCCTGACTTCCCTCAGGGACTGACTGTGACCTGGAAGCTGGAAGGAGCCCTTTCCTCCCCAAATTGGTTTTTGGTCATTGCCTTAGTTATGGTTATTGTTTCTGGAGCAGAACATGGTGACCACAAGCAACTTGGGGAGGAACGTGTTTATTGTTCTTACGCTTCGACATCACAGTTCATTATCAAAGGAAGTCAGGACAGAAACTCAACCAGGGCAGGAACCTGGAGGCAGGAGCTGATGTAGAGACAGTCGTGGTGGGATTCTTTACTGGCTTGCTTCTCACGGTTTGCTCAACCTGCTTTCTTATAGAACCCAGGACCAACAGCCCAAGATGGCACCACCCACAATGAGCTGGGTCCTTCCACATCAATCACTATTGATAAAATGCCATACATGTTTGCCTATAGTCTGATCTTATGGAGGCCTTCTCTCAATTGAGAATCCTTCCTCTGTTGACTCTAGCTTGTGACAAGTTGACACAAAACTAGCCATGGTGTTTTATCACAGCAATCAAAACCCTAAGACACTTGGTCATCAGATTGTTCCAGACACTGAAATAATGTGAACTGAAAATTCAGTCTTCTGTGTCCCCTTCCTTCTCTTCCCTCTCCTCACCCTTTTCTTCTTTCTTTTTCCTTTCTCTTCCCCACTCTTTCCTTTTTCACTGTTGGGAGGATTAAACTCTGAGGCAGGTGAGCTCTGTCTACATTTCAGCATACTTAATTTACATTAGAAGAACAGGAAAAAGAGAGGTGCTTATGAATCACTTCTTTCTCTGTGTCCTATTAAGGAAGGGATGTATCAATGTTGACATCGTGTTTTCAATGACACTGCCTCACAACTGCATTTACTGAGAAGGCATTTACTTATTGAGCATCTACTGTGTGATGCAGAGTTCTAGGCTCTGGGACAGCACTGAGAAGTATCTGCTTGGATACTGTTTGCATCTCCGTGGGAGAGATGGGCAGTGAATGAATAAATGATGTAATGCCACCAATAGCTAGTAAATGGTAAGGGGAATAAAGCAGGATAAAAGGCAAAATCCTACTCCATCTGTAAATGGTCAGAGAGCACTATATAGGGAGACAATATTTCACCCTGGCCCCGTGATTTCTGTTCCATCCTGTTCCCTGCCTTTCATTTCCATTCTACAGCAAGTTTGTCCACATAAAAACCCTTCATACCTGCTCTGCTCTAAACATACTTCCTGCCCACTCTGGGAGGCACTCTTCGTGCTTGGCACTGCCTGCCTCTTAGTACTTTTATTTTAGTGTCTTTTCCCTTAAACCTGAGCTCTCCAGGGCCACAAGCTGTTCCTTCATTGAGTTTCAGTGCCAAGCAGAGTGCTGGGCACTCAGTGAGTTCATTAGCAGTGCCTGGAGGGAGAAAAAGAGTGAGGCAGCCATTGATTCAGATGCCACCCAATTGTGACCGACTTTGGAAAGCGTAAGGCAGCCATGGCCTGTCCCAGGGAAGGCCACTCATCACAAAGAGCTGCACTTTCAGAGCTAGGGCACCTCATCTCATGAGCTGTCCT